AGAGAGAGAGAGAGAGAGATGTGTGTTGGCGGCACTCTGCCAAACAGCTGCTGGTGGCGAATATTCTGTGTCCTGCTGGTGGACCATTGATCCCTATACTCAAATCAAACGTCATTGCAATCAGGGAACCGGCAGAGTCGAGGTCTCTTAAGGCTACTCAGACGTGCAGACGGAAAACTCTGCTTGTTCTCTGGGCCTCGCACAACATAGGGCATGCAAACACCTCAATTTTTCTCTTGTCCACGGGTACCTGCTCGCATGGGACCAACTCAACAGCTCCACCACGACTGGATGCCGATACCATAAAAGACGTTTCGATGGCAAGAAGACTCATACAGCACGGAATCATGCTTTGCAGGAACTCAACCTGCTGAAGTGAGGAAAAGAACAGCCCTGCAAAGCAACGCCTGGTTCTTCCAGTCCTGGATGAGCTGCAGTGCTTCTTTGATCGTCTTCGGGTTGCACTTCCTGCTAGTCGGATTACGGGCTACGTGCCGTCTCCACTGCCTGTCCAACATAACATGACACTATGTACTATCATAAGGCCGCGGCCAGTTTCCTCCAACGATTGGCTTCCGCGGCATGTCAAGAATATCGAGCGCACGATGGCAATTGTTTTAAGGCAGCTAACTGCCGTCGTCTTCTCAAGTCGCTGGTCGCTCGAGCAACAGCACAGACGCATTCAGCAAAGACACACTCACTGAGGGAGACATGACGGCATAAGCAGCGTGTTTACTGCCCGATCTGTTCGTGTGTCGATTGAAGCCATGAAACCCACCTCCGTCTGCTGCTGAAGGCGCAACGCCAATGCCTCCAAATCCTGCTCACGCTCCTCCTGAACGCTTCCGCAAAGACACGACGCAACATTGAATTATCCGCTGCTTTTCCATAAACTTGGGCTGACTTGTGTCAGTGCACTACCTGCGGCTGTTACGGAGTCCTTACACTTATCTGCTCTCCTGGGCTTGGCAGACTTCGGAGGCCAACTGTTCACGGGCCGCCAGTGCCTGAGCATGGCGACGATGGGATGTGCTTTACAATTTTCACAGTCGCTGAAGCAAGCACAGTTGCACTCTGCAAGCCTGCTCTCTCTTCACGAGTTCCTTGTACCGCACAGCAACCTGACAAACATTTTCGTTGTCAACATGCACAGTGCTGCAGAGTTTGCCACCTTTAGCCAAGCAGATCAAATCAAGCCATATATCTAGCACCAACACGTGAACAATGCTGCTTTGTGAATCCTCCTCCTGCAATGGGCGGAGAGCGCCGCCCTTGGAATCTGCCTCAGCGCAATGATAAACCCATGTTCAATGCAATCAGCTTTCAACACATGTCGAACTGACTGTGGTCGGACCGATGGAATATGCCATGGCTTTCTTCAACAGGTTCTTAGCACAGCGCATGGCGGATGTTTTCATCAGTCCAAAGAGGAGCCAATGGTCGACGACGTGCCTAAACAACATCCCATCTCGTACTTGAGAAATTTGCTTCGCGTTTGTCACAGCCTCAACATTGTCGCCAGCAGGAAGCGTCGCCATGAATCCCACGATGGGCTTACGAGAGGAATTCAAGACACTGCAGTCTTTGGATCGTGCACGTTGCTCGACCATGGCGTAAACGCTTCAGTTCAGTTTGCATAGCACAGCCCACACTCTGGCACTTGAGCATGGCGTCGACATCAACAAGCTCGATGCAATCCAGCTTTTCCAGCACGCTCCAAGATGATGCTTGCACATGTATCAGCATGTCAATTCACCGACACAGCATGCTTGTGCAAGTTTATACAAGTTGACACAACGAGAAACATCACATGGGGTTTAATGGGCTTGAATCACACTGTTTTTTCATGCTGTCCTTCCACATCACGGTCATGTTGGGATCACGGCACAAGCATGTGTCGAGGATTTGCAGCCATGCTTAAGAGTTTTTCGCTAGCCCTAGCCCAGCCTAAACTCCAACTTTGTCGGTGGTTGGCAGCGTATTCCCAAACCTGGGGTTCGAACCTCTGGATGGGGAGGGCGGAACATGATGTCAGAACTGGGGTTTCAAACTTCACAGGGGTTCGAACATAGATCTCGAATCCGAGCCCAGAGTTATAACATAGAGTCTCGAACCCAGAACTCGAACATAGAAAACTAGACACAAACAGATCAGTTCGAGGCCAACCCTCCTGTTCCAGAACTGAAAGCAAGAACTCTTTGGTAGAGGAAATTGCAGAGCTTCTTATCAGAATGGCGCAGTAAGAGGATTTCATGCCCTTGTTTCGGTCTCGGACAGACCGCGTCGTGACCGTGTTGTGACCGTGTTGTGTCGTGATCGCGTTGTGACCGCGTCGTGACTGCATCGTGACCGCGTTGTGACCTGGCCTTTTTTCGAATCTTGAAACATTGTTACAGGAGACATGAGACATTAATGAAACCAAATTCGAGCGTTGTGACCGCGTCGTGACCGCGTGGTGACCGCGTAGTGACCGCGTGATGACCTCGTTGTGCGTAGTCACCGCGTACCGCGTGGTGACGCGTGGTGACCACGTGGTGGAGCAGTCGAAACTTGAGCATTTATGAAACCAATTTGGAGCGTAGTGACAGCGTAGTGACCTCGTAGTGACCATGTAGTGACCAAAAATGCTCCGCAAATCGGAGCCAACTCCGAGGTCTAGATGCTCACCCTCTCTCTAGGGAGGGTAGACCCAGCTCCCCACACACGGCATTTGCTGGGCCCATTTGAAGCCATAGCTCAGAATTCTT